CAATACCGAAGGGAGTTGGGCATGTGTTTAACCATTAAAGACAGAATTACGGCCCTTGGTATGAAATTTGTTTTTGGCTATTTCTCAGAAACAGCTTTCTTAATTTTGACGAAACTTTATTTATAATAAATATCAAAGAGAGATGGGCATATTGTTGGCACACTTTAATCCAACCTCGTCTTTAGTGGTCTAGTGATAGAGCATCAACCTGTTGGCCGGGAGGTCGGTGGTTAAATCCCTGGTCTCGACATACCAAAGTCATTAAAATGGTACTGGTAGCTTCCTGTTTGACTCTCAGCAAAAAGGGTAGTTCCAGGACTGGGGTTAGTATCTCGAAGCTATCGTTATATTTGCGTTAACGAACGTGCTAACGATTGACAGAGGGTTGGTTAACGAGAGACTAGCGCGGGTATCTCGAAAGCAATAGTTAAGCAATCGTTCGTTGCTTATTCGTTAGTTATTAACGATTGTGTTGTGTTATCATTTGAATACATGTTCCGCGAAAATTGTGTACAGCTCTTGTTTATATTCATTATTTTGCGTAGACGAAGGTGAATTGAAGTAGAAGGTTACGATCATGCTAGACCACACAATCACACGACTCATGCAGGATCCGTCTGAGGTCTATCAATATAGACTTGTCTTGCGAGAAAATCCCGATTGCCTTGATAATATTAATTGTGATAGTGGTAAACCTTCGAAAACGGTTCCTTTAAAAAAGAGAACAGTCATTGGAATTACCCATGTTGGAAGTTCCAATGAAACAGGCGTGATTCAATTGAGGGGATAACCATTCCTCATTCTTCAGGCTATAGCAACATGTTGTTTTAGGTTGTAAGTATACTGTAAATTTTCAAATTTGAAAATGATGCTTTCATTGTTGCTCTCCGTTTGAGTGAAATATGGACTATATTTTCACGAAACAATATAAAATGTTACCCTTTAGACAATCATAATTATGTACAGCATCTCTTTCTTAAATCCCACTTGCTACACAGATGCAAAGACGTCGTGCGCCTAACAATGACACCATGAGCAAAACAATGACTTCATAAGCATAAATATATATTAAATATGTAAAAGTCGATTTTCATTGGATAATCATGACGTTTATATTATTAGTTAAAAAGATTTTTGACAGGTAATATTGCCCTATAAAAACCATGTAAAAGACTGCATGTTTGGAAATATAACCTGAGCCGCTAGGCGATGGTTATATTGCCTACAACCGTTTGTATATGATCATTTAACATGTCAGGAATTTTTATAACGAATTTATAAAACCACAAACTTCCCTTTTTGAGAAAAAGGTGAGATTTCTTAGAAAATTGCCAGAAACAGTGTATATAAAACTATAAAAATGTCACGATTATCCAATGAAAAATGACGTGACAAACGTGCAGTATTATAAAATCTTTTATAATACTGCACGTTTGTTACTGCAAGTTTGTAACGTCAATTTTCATTAGATAATTTTGGCGTTTATATAGTTTATATACGCTGCTGCTGTCAATTTATCAAGAAATCTCTCTTTTTCTGCAGTATTGTAAATTCGTTAAGAGATTTTTAACAGGATATATGGCCGATATAATTTTGTTTGCAATATAACTATCACCTGGCGGCTCGGGTTATCGTTTATATACGGCCATATAACCTGTCTAATATCTGTATAACTAAATGATATTATATACATGACTGCTGTTAATTAATATGGATAAATTTCCATTTTGTCTTAAACATAAGATGTTTGCTGAATTATAAATTAAAATTAAATTATAACAATTGGTTTGTTTGTTTGTTTGTTTCATTTTACGCCTTTCCCAACAGTATTTCAGTCATATATGCGGGTAGTTTCCTAACCATCGTTCCTGGAGAATTACACTAGTAATAGACTTCCTTCCTCCGCGCTAAACTACCAAAGCATCTCCCGGGGATCGAACCCACGCCAGAGAGGTACCTGGATTAGAAGTCATCGACTCTAACCCCTCAACCACGGAGGCGGTTACATAATAGCTGGTGTTCGAGAGTGAAATATATGTTAATCTGAAATGATAAACAAACAACATTTCTATATATTACATGCCTTTTTGTGGTACCGATTTTTGCAGCTGACGTAATGCACTTTTCTTCACGATGTCATTAATTTCACAATTTACTTTTCGAAATATAATTCTGTAACAAGTTTGAATTTATATTTTCTTGTGCAAAATTACACATTACAGAGTTTATTCCTTTTGCTGTTTAAGTTTAGATATGATTTTTTTCATCCGCATTCAAATATAAGTCTTTAATTAAACTGTAAAGAACCTTTACATATGTTTGATATGTGAGAAAAAGTTTGTTTGTTTGGATTTTAAGGCACGTCAACACATAACTGGCCATATCTTGAAACTTGAAACTTGAAAACTTGATTTAACGCCTATTTCTACATATAAAATACATATTCAATGGCGTTGTACAGCTATATACCTTATATGTGCTACTCCCAGTGCTACCATACACAATACTCCCAGCAGTGCGACGGTCACAGTGATTGGGTCAATCCCCACCAACATGTAACAATCTACACCCCTGCACCCCTGCACATGATAACACATGGGCTAGACTTTATTATATTATTATACAATGAAAATAATAAAAACACTAGAAATATACAAACATGCACAAAACAATTAGGAACAGACAATGGCTTCAGCGTCACTTAAAAAAGTGCAAAAAAGTCCTTGAAGTAAAATGATTTCAGTTGTCTTTTGAAAATTTCAACAGATTCACATTTTCTCATATTAATAGGTAGTTCATTCCACAATTTTGGTCCTATCGTGCTAAAAGCTCGTGCCGAATGCTATAATAGGCTTTAAATGTTATGTAAAACTTTGTAAATGACAATAAAATTGAGTCAATTAGATCCAAGAATACAAGTTTATCTCTTTTAAATAATCAATGATGTTTTTATAGATTTGTAATAAAGAGTTCTTTGAGTGAATTTACACAATAAAATCTATTACGGGCCTTTGAAAATTCATGAGAAAAAGAAATACAATACTATATTTATGTCGGTTCATCATTTTTTATCAATAAAATGATATAATTCTAACTTTTTATGTACTTTCAAATCGCACCTTTCTTACTTTTGTGTCAAAGTGATAATAACGAGAGACTAAAGATACCCTCTAGGCATCCGTTAATAATTGGGCATATTAACGATTATTCGTTAATAACGGACACGGCCTTGTCCATTTTCGCCCTTCTTTAATCTATAGTAAATCTGTCACATTTAAAGCTTCATTATGGACTTCTATTAAACTCAGCAGAATTCTGTATTTTATAACTTTAAACATCAACACTACACAAGTTAGTCGAAGCCCGAAATGTCCTATGTTAGCCATCTAGATTTCACAATATTTCTTAATTTGTTAAGTCACTGTCAAATTATCAAAGTTTCAAATGTCATGTATGCTGGCGTGTAGTACTTCTCGAATCCTTCCACCAAGAAATGAGATCCTGCAGAATACACAAAAAAACAACTTTTAAAGTCATCAGAAATGACACTAAATGTACACTGTTACAATAAATACACTTAAAATGTAACCAGTCACATTAAAAATGACTTGAAATAGGGCACTTCAAAATTTCAAAGAACTATTTTCTAGCCTACAACGGGCTGGGTCTAATTCCGTACCGGGTTGAGACCTAACGAGAGCGTCGAGATAGCTGTGAAAACCTTAACGAGAGGTATACGATAGTCGTTATGCTTACGATAGCTTCGAGATACTAACCCCAGGTTGACCCGATGTCAGGATAATGTGTTTTTTTAATGTTTTTTTACCTTATGACATAGTGACAGAAAATCAATGATCCCCGGGTTGAGGCCAATTTGACCACAGGGCTATAATTTGAACAATCTTGCTAGAGGTTCACTACACAATGTTTCATGCAAAATATCTAACATCTAGCCTTTGTCAATTTAGAGAAGATGATTTTTTAAAGTTTTTACTATACACATATATACATGTTGTAACTCTCCAGGAACGATGGTTAGGAAACTACTCGACTATATGACTGAAATATTGTTGTGAAAAGGCGTAAAATGAACAAACAAACAAAGTAATTGAAAAGTTATGACCCCCGGGGCGGGGATTATTCTGACACAAGAGGCAAAATTTGAATAACTTTGGTATCTATAGATGATATCATATACCAAATATTAAAGCTCTATACCTTGTAACTTCAGACTATAAGATTTTTTAATTTTTTACTATATGAACATAGTGAAAATCAGCGACACCAGGGTAGGGCAAATTTTGACCCCTGGGCTATTATTTGAACATAAAATGAACAAATATCTAATCTTAAGCCTTTGTCAATTTCAAGATAATTTTTTAAGTTTTAACTATTTACATATTAGAAAAAAATATTATAAAGTTTAAAGTTGCTATCTTGACTGGTTAATTAGTTAATATGTGAAAAAAAGTTGAAAAAAGGGGAAAAAAATCAAAAACCGACAAAAAGCCATAACTCAGATATGCTATACTTTACTATTGTAAGTTATCATTCATTTCCTTTTTTCTATAGATGAATGGTTTTTATTAGGCACAGATGCCAAACAGTGTTACAGTATTCCAAGTCCGTACATAGGTTTTGTCATGATTCTAATTTTGCCTCGAGATTTCTTTTCGTAAATTAGAGTATTCATAGATAACGAAGAGAAATTTTCAGTGTGCGTTTTCCATATTCAAAATTATCACTAATGGTTACACTCAAGTATTCCTAATTTTGTGTTCGTTTTAGCTCAAGTTGGTTTGAATCAAACTATTATACCTACTGAATGTGTCTAACGACTATCATGATGTTGATAATGCACGGCATACCACATTAGAATGTCACCGATGCCTAATGCCAATATAATGCCAAGTTTATGAGGTAGCTTTACTTATTACTATATAATAAAGATAAAAGTCAAAATCTGAAATCAGGTAATCTGGTTTTATTTATACATCACAAGGTAAAATAAGGAAAACAGAAGAGGAAAAATAAAAAAAAACCATGTCATGTAAACCTTTCCTAGGTACAATAAAAACAAGTGGTGTAATCCGTTTAAATTATAGACAGCTGTCTCCTTAACAGTACAAATAAATTTCAACTTCTGAAAGCTACAAACTAAAGCAAAAGCACATGTTTTGTGCTGGTGGCTTAATTTGACAGTTATGTCAAAGATAGACTATTTACATAGCAAAAAACACAAATATTGAGTAAAACTTCAACTAAACTGTACCTCTAAATTATGTGTTACATCTTCCTATAAAGTTTCAACTTGTTCTTTCATCATACAGGTCATATGCTTTGAGCCAAAATTAAGTATGAACAATGGGGGCCATAGGTCCCACCCAAAGCACTCACCTGATGACTAGATAAATGCACTTCCTTGTGTTTTAATAAATGTTTTAAATATTTTTCTGGGAATTGAGGACACTCAAGTAGAGGACTAACATTAAATGAGTGCCAAAATTTTAACAATGTTGATTGATCCATTGACACTAGTTTTGTCTAATACCACAGTCGTTTGATAGCTAAAAGATTGAAATTAATTATCTATAATTTAAAAAAGAAAGCCCATTTTAAAAGATAAATAAATATACATTTGTAAAACTTTGGTAGAGGACCTATGGATATCACATACCAAATATATCATTTATTTTTAATTTTGACCCAAGGGCCATTATTTGAACAATCTTGGTAGAGGTCATGCCAACAATCTATAACCTGTAACCTTTACCAATTCAGAGAAGAAATTTTTATTAAGGGTTTATTATATACATTTAAGGAAAAACATATGACCCCCATAGATTTGCGTAAATAAATTTTTATATTCCCTTTTCTAAGAGTTTTCTTAAATTGTATGACATTCAGAGCTGAATTCATAATCAAGTATCAAGAAAAAAGCATTAAATATCGAAAAAGGAAGTGTAAATATAAAATTAGACTAATTTTGACCATAAAGCGTTAGTAACACCTTACAATTTAGAGTTTTAAAGATGTATATCAAATGATAAAGATGTTTCGAAGTCTGTAATTTTGCTGACTGGAAGAATCAAGTCTGATGCAACGATAAACATCCAAATAATACAATATTTTAACAACTGTTTCTTGTGACACAATAACTACACAATAGTCATTTTAACTATTACAAAGCAAACAATTAATAAGACATAGCACAACTACAGAATAACTATAAAATCTGAAACATAAAAAACATTGCACATGTCTTGTGCAGGTGGTTGAGCATGATTGAATTATAAAAGAACACAATATTCAGTAACTTTAAATCTTTAAAAGCTAACAATAAAATCATTTGTTTAGTAAAAATTAAAAACTAAGAAAAATAGCACATTTTTTGTATTTCTAAAATAACTAAACTAATCATGAGGATGCTTCTTGAAACTACAAGTGCTGTTACAAATTGTAACTAATACCATCTGATATCAAATTGGACGTGACAATATGTAATCAAATGAAGAAATTGTTGATGGTTGACTAATGCACATATGCAGGAAAGACGACAGACACAGGCCCACAATATAGCTCACCCTGTCAGTATTTTGTGCTCAGGTGGAAGTAAAAATATAAAAAGAATATAACAATTTTAGACAACTGTCAATGGCACATAGTAATTCTTTAAATGTCATTGTAGATGTTTCTTATGGAGTTTATTGTCTGCCGGCATGTTGGGCACTTCTTTGCAGTGGTATTTTCAAACAAGTGTAAAGCACATGGGAGACAAGAGGTGTGTCCACAGGGAAAATAGTATGATGTTGGTTCTCGATCGAAGCAGACGATGCAAAGTCGGGATCTTAAAGCCACCTGAAACAAATGAACAAAAATATACATAACAATTATTGCAACTCTACTGAAACTAAACAAAACCCAGTATATCTCTTTCCATACAAAGCAGACTGTAAATTATAGCTTTGTATTAACTGAGATTGTGGCACTGACATTGGTTTTGAAATGAACTTGAACAAACACATCGAGAGGTCTAAATATTTGACCTTGCAAATATGTGGTCTGCTTTGAAGTGTCATCATTTGATTCTTGTTAAAACTATGACAAACATTCTTTTTCTTTAATCTGAAAAGAGTTGTATGCAATATCAAACTGTACAACTGTGTTTAGTAGAAGTAAAAATACATTCACAAACATTTTATACACAAAATTTCTTAGTTCAATTATCTCCCCTTTCTGAAAATTTGATTTTAGATTTGTCTCCGTATATATACACATCTTCATGTCATGGTTTACCATTATGTGAAAGTTGAACCAAAGATGTCCAGTGCAGTAGGATTTTGTATTTATGGTTTTGAAATAGAGTTAAGTGACCCCAAAACTGAACGCCACCATATGGATAAGAACAATTATACTTCTATCTCCTCGGACCACTTTATTCCTCCAGGAAGTTGAGCTTCCATAAAATATACTTACAGTAGGGGTTCCTGCTTGTTCGAATGTAGACAGCACATCAGACTGAGAACCAACCTGCAACTGGCGCTGTAAACAAAATGACATTTTTTTATATATGCTATAATTAGAATCTGTCATAAGACACTTCAGATATCCTTTGAGTTATCTTCTGGAAATATAATATAAGCATGTGTATTTTCCATCATGACAGTGTTATACATGTATCTTTAAACAGTTCAAAATGAATTTTGACTGAAATGTTTTCACCATTTAGGCCTCGACACTAACTTTTTTAGCAGGTGGTAAGCCGAACCACTAGAATTGAAATTAAGGTGGTCCTTGCAGCAGTCAGGTGGTCATTTTTTTATCATATCATTTTACTGCAAATTTGGAAAAATATATGCTTTAATTGATGACAAAAATGTATTATTAACCTTCAATAAAACAGAAATTTTAGATATATACTTTTATCTTATCAGAAATTAAGTAGAGCAAGTTAGTAGGTATTCTATCGTGAAGTTATTTGTTTGTTTCTTTATCTCATAAAAAATAAACAACAGGACTCTTATTTATGTTAACTTTAATATTGAAATGACTTCTGCCTCAATTCAAGGGAATAATGAAACCATTTGTGTATGTTATTTTCTGACTGTTATTCAAATATACATTGCTGATACGGGGTACGTCTTAATAATCATGATAATTGCATGTATCTTTTATAGATAAACATTTTTAATAAAACTAATAAATTATCTTATTCTTTTCTTTGAAAACAAAGAAATATCTAAAGAATAAAAAATAATAACAATGTTATATATAACTATAGTTAAGCTTATTTTTCTCACTGATTTATTATGAATACAGAAGTTGATATTTACTTTTGACATTGAATACTTAACCTTTTCAAGTAATTTTAACTCTGGATGAAATGGATCTCTTATCGTTAAACAGTTAAAATAAAATAAAGAAAAGTAGCACAGAATTACCAGATGTATTTTTTAACAGTTCCTTTCGTTTCCTGCCATTATTCAAGTCAAGTGTATGAAATTTTAAGTTTATCCGATACACCATATACTAAATACCATCGCCATCACCCACGGTTGATTAAAATGTAACAGAACATGAATATAAATGGTTCTGTGAGTATCCGACGATGCATAATTACTAGCATCATTTGAATGAACTTTGTACCAAAAATAATATCACAAATTCTTCACTTGTTTAACTTGCATAAACAAAATATATGCGTCTGAAAATGAAAGTTATTGATGACTTAAGAACTTCTTTAACTAATCAGAGATTAATGTATTTTGTATTTTTTATGAACCATATACATGTACATGAAACAAATGATTTTAAACAAAATGTATATGACATGTTTTTGGCCAACAAATGAGCCTTGCACCAACCAGAAAGTTCAAGTGGTCCGACGGACCAGTGGCTTTTAAAATTAGGTGGTCCTTGAGAAAATCAGGTGGTCTCGGACCAACGGACCACCGCTTATGTCGAGGCCTGCCATAACATCAATCATTTAGCATTAAAACCATTTTTATAAATACAGACTACTTGTTTTGTTTTCATACAGATAAGCAAAAACAGTTGAAATTGCAAGAAGTTCAGGGGCCCTGGATGATGACTAACCCTGCTGTTGTGGTAGCACCTATCAGTCTATCCCTTAGACTGTTTAGTTACCTAGGTGTATTAAGGATTAGTGAGGGCATAAATTAGAGCAAACACAGTACATGAATAAAAGAACTGCGAGCCATCTTTCCAGGAGAAAATAAGCTTTCTGCAAATTTTTAAAATGATATTACTAAATCCAATTTTCAAGAATATATGCTTGTCAAACCAATTATACCAAAAGACATCTTGCCATTTAAATTTCTGCATGTTGTTATAAATCCACATCATGTCAAACATTTTTGCAATAATGTCAATTGACATATGAAGTTGAATACATTACACTGATGATGTGTTGGTCTTTTTTAGGTTGAGGGTTGAACAAAGCAGCCTTTTTAATCAATAACCTCTCCATTATTGTAGCATCAGTACATAATTGAGTATGAATAAATTCTACTTAATTACTTACAGAAGGTGTTTCATCAACATATTGGATCGGACTTGGTGCCTGCACTTCCTGTGTGACTTGGATCAACTACAAAGACATCAGGACAAAAATGTTCAATTTTTCGTAATTAACTAGATAATTACTGATGTCATAATTTACAATCTCTTTGAGATGGCAGGTTATCCCAGAATAATTTAATGTGATCATTTTCATGCATGTTACTTATTTGTACTTAAAATAAATACCTCTAGATTTGACTGGAACAAATGATAAGACTTTTCTAAATTATTGGAGTTTTAATTTCTGCTTTAGTTTAGCATACTGTCATAGGAGAAGGAAAATACTTACCGAAGGTGTTTCAGCAACATACTGAACTTGGTTGTGACTTGGTTGTGATGCCTGAACTTCTTGTGTGACTTCCTTTAAATAAAAAAAAAAACATGTTGTTATTCACAAGCTAATGGTGGCTTATCTCCAATTCAAATACTGCGGAATCACTTACGTTTAATTTTCATGCTTTTTGCACTACGATGTGTGTGCAAATATTCAGACACATCGTATTTACAACCATAAATACGTTTTCATACATGTTTGACGTTTTAATTGAATATTATACTATAATTAATGAATATAACCACTTGTGTACACCTTGTTTTTGTAACTGGTATGAAGATGTTTAAGGTAGGCACATGGTATAAAAACCAGATTGTTTCGTTTTCCAAAATTTGAAAGGATGTTAGGATTTGTTTAATAGGCCCTAGTTTTTAACCTTTTCTATAAATAAGAATAAATATCAAAAGGGCAGACAGTTTTGAAGATTTTGGTGGAAATATTGGAGAATAATTATATTGCTTTCACAGCATTTGCTTAAACTTTAAACCGCATGAAATGGTATTTAAGCGTGTTTGTGTGAAATTTAGGCTCACGAAAATAAATGATTTCCCAGGTTTCCCAGTAAGTTGTTATTTGTGTTAATAGGTTGTCAACCAAGGATCATTATTGTAATGTCAGGTCAAATTCCACAGTTTGAAGAACTACTTGACGATTGACAAACATGCAAGTAAGAATGAAAACAGCTGGCTATCCCAATACATGTACTTTTAAACATGCAAAACATGCTCAGGTGAGCAAAACAAGAGGACCCTGTCTCATTTGTCTCAGACAAATTATCAAGACGTTAGGCCTTATGGTTGTTGACAAAAGGATTTTTGGGATAATTTCACTGGAGAAATCTATGTAAAACTTGTGACCCCAGAAGCGGGGCCATTTTAGACCCCAGGGGCAAAATGTAAATAATATTCATAGAATACCACTCCTACATACCAAATATCAAAGCTCTAGGCCTTATGGATTACTCTTCATAGAAGACCACTAGATGATGCTACACATCAAATGTTAAAGCTCTAGGCCTTATAGTTGTTAACAAGAAGATTTTTTTAAGATTTCACTATACAACTCTTTGTGACAGGTGAGCTAAAAAGCAATCAAAATCAAAGTATATTCGCACTAAAGTACTAGTAGTGACTGACATTTTCTGCCAATATACAACAGTCATTCATTGAAATGGTTATATTCTGCAATAGTCACATTACTCAACTTAAGCTAATATATCTTCACACCTTTCCAGTGAGCAGACAGTGGGTTACAAGGTATAAGGCAACTGCATACCAACATCTTTATGTTAAAATTTAAAATGAGGAAATGTTGTGTTTTATTTCAATCAATTCTTTGTCCTTTTTGCTATTAAAATAAAAATAGCATGGCATGCCTAAACCAACCTTAGTATTGTAATTATATGGAAATACCTCATTTAACGTTGATATTGTGCTTCCAGCTTCACCATCTCCATCTAAAGCATCCTAAAAACGTATAATTTATAATTATTCAAAGCTATGACACATTGGTCACTTACTAACCTACTCGAGAAATGAATTTTGTTTATGTCCCTACCTTTTTAAGACAAAATACAAATTTTCAATAATTTAAGGCAAAGACATACATATATTTTCACTTCAAACTGCTCTAGTCACTACTGTCTTCGAATCAACATGTCTTGTTTTTCCATTTGTTATATGCTCGTCTAGGTCTTAATGACTTGTATGGCTTAATCACATTTACAGTGCTTTTTAATTATTTATTTGTATAGTTATCAATATATACCAAATATACCATAAAATCAAGGGTCTCTAAAGACTGAAGATGACACACAGTTGACATGACAAGTGTTGACCACAAAACTCTACGCTAAGGTGAACTGCAATAAGCTGGTCAACCATGACAAAGTAAACTTTTTGAAGAGAAATGTCATATAGAAAATTTTACCGCTGAAGTAACAGTAGATGTGGCAGTGGTTGTTCTCTTCTTGAAGGAAATGCTTGGTAAATCAAAATCATCTGAGTCTGAGCTGCTATGTAAATCCTGTACAGTCAGTGGAGACTTCTGCAGAAAATGAGAAACAAATTTTTATAATTAAAAGCCTAAAGCACTTTCATAGTAACATTTTTATTGAAAAAATAAAACCTATTGTTCTAATATAGCCACCAAAATTTGACTTCACAGCTAGAGGACTGCAATGTCAAATGAGATTGATTCAAATGAAGTCAATACATATAGTAGGTTTATATCTAGGTATATTGTTACCTGACAGAATTTGTGACAATTAATAAATAACAGGAGCTGGAACCCTAATTTATAAAAGTAAGCATAATAGAAGAACAAGCTGTTTTAATAAAATTGAGAACTTTATGTTTATTTTTATTCCATTCATAAAAGTGACTAGTGAATAACACAAGGAATATTTAAGCATATTTACCAGTCTAGAGAAGAGGTATAGTCTTTTTTGGCCCGTTCTTCTTTCTTTGAAGTATTCCCCAACTGTTATAAAGGGCTCAATTTTTTCCCCATTGTAGTTTGCCACAAAAAACCTAAATTTACTTTCATGGCCATACACACTTCTTCTACATGGGAAATAAATTCCTTTTAGTTGCTCCTCCACATTTTCGAGGGTTGCAGTGGTTTCAAATTTTTTGGTCTGAGGACCTGAATTCGGTCTCTGCTTTGATGTCTTTACTAGCTTAAATCTCGACTCCTTGAAAGAGTAGTCCATCCAACCAACATGAACCAGTATGTGTCTGTCTTTTTGTGACTGAAACATATGATATAACTTTTCTTTGTAGAACAGGAGATCTAAATAGCAATAATAAACTAGAAATGTGTCCATAGGACACGGGTGCCCCCACACTCCACCGATTTGTCAATCTTATGTCTGTATTTTTTTGCTACATGTGCCCAAGTTGAAAACTTAAAATCTTTTATAAGTAAAGGGCAAATATTACAAATACTGAATAAATCCACAAACAAGAGGGCCATGATGGCCCTGAGGTCGCTCACCTGTATATAGGCCCCCAACATTGCAAGGCCAATTTAACCCAAGGGCTTTTATTTGCACAAACTTGGTAGACACCCATAAGAAGATGTTTCATGCTAAACATCTAAGCTCTAGCTCATTGGGCTTTTTAAAAGAAGATTTTTTTTAAGTTTTTACTATACACATATAGTTTAAAACAATGACACCCCTGGGGCAGGGCCAGGGCTTTTATTTGAACAAACTTTGTAGACACTTACTAGAAGATGTTTCATGCTTATATCTAAACTCTAGCTATTTGGGTTTTTTCAAAGAAGATTTTAAGTTTTTGCTATACACATATAAAGAAAAAAATGACCCCCGGGGCGGGCCAATTTTCACCCCAGGTCTTTTATTTGAACAAACTTTGTAGACACTCACTAAAAGATGTTTCATGCTTAATATCTTACTCTAGCTATTTGGGTTTTTTCAAAGAAGATTTTTCAAGTTTTTGCTATAACACATATAAGGAAAATCAATGACCCCCGGGCGGTGCCAATTTTGACTTTTTAATTTGAACAAACTTGTAGACACCTATTAGAACATGTTTTGATGCAAATAATCTAGCATAGCTTCTTTGAGTTCTAAAAGAAGATTTTTTTAAGTTTTACAATATGGCATTAGGAAGACATGAGCCCCCGGGGCGGGGCCAATTTTTGACGGCCAGGGCTTTTATTTGAACAAACTTGGTGACACTTATTAGAACATGTTTCATGCTAAATTATCTTAGCTCTAACTCTTTTGTTCTTTAAAAAGAAGAATTTTTTTAAGTTTTTACTATATGCGAATAGGGAAAATCAATGACCCCCTGGGGCGGGGCCAATTTTGACCCCAGGGCTTTTATTTGAACAAACTTGGTAGACACCTATTAGAACATGTTTGATGCTAAATATCTTAGCCATAGCTCTTTGAGTTCTTTAAAAGAAGATTTTTTAAGTTTTTACAATATGCATATAGGGAAAACCAATGACCCCCCGGGGCGGGGCCAATTTTGACCCCAGGGCTTTTATTTGAACAAACTTGGTAGACACTTATTAGAACATCTTTCATGCTAAATATCTTAGCTCTAACTCTTTTAGTTCTTTAAAAGAAGATTTTTTTAAGTTTTTACTATATGCAATAGGGAAAATCAATGACCCCCTGGGGCGGGGCCAATTTTGACCCCAGGGCTTTTATTTGAACAAACTTGGTAGACACCTATTAGAACATGTTTGATGCTCAATATATATCTTAGCCATAGCTCTTTGAGTTCTTTAAAAGAAGATTTTTTAAGTTTTTACAATATGCATATAGGGAAAACCAATGACCCCCCGGGGCGGGGCCAATTTTGACCCCAGGGCTTTTATTTGAACAAACTTGGTAGACACTTATTAGAACATGTTTCATGCTAAATATCTTAGCTCTAACTCTTTTAGTTCTTTAAAAGAAGATTTTTTAAGTTTTTACTATATGCATATAGGGAAAATCAATGACCCCCTGGGGCGGGGCCAATTTTGACCCCAGGGCTTTTATTTGAACAAACTTGGTAGACACCTATTAGAACATGTTTGATGCTCAATATCTTAGCCATAGCTCTTTGAGTTCTTTAAAAGAAGATTTTTTAAGTTTTTACAATATGCATATAGGGAAAACCAATGACCCCCCGGGCGGGGCCAATTTTGACCCCAGGGCTTTTTATTTGAACAAACTTGGTAGACACTTATTAGAACATGTTTCATGCTAAATATCTTAGCTCTAACTCTTTTAGTTCTTTAAAAGAAGATTTTTTTAAGTTTTTACTATATGCATATAGAGAAAATCAATGACCCCCCGGGGGCGGGGCCAATTTTGACCCCAGGGCTTTTATTTGAACAAACTTGGTAGACACTCACTAGAAAATGTTTCATGCCAAATATCTAAGCTCTAGCTCTTATGGTTCTTTAAAAGAAGATATTTAAAGTTTTTTTCTTTTGGTTGCCATGGCAACCAGAGTTCTACATGGAATTAAATTCTTTGAACAATTTTTAAAGATGACCACCAAAGATACATTCCTGTGAAGTTTGGATGAAATTGGCTTAGTGGTTTATGAGGAGATGTCATTTAAAGTAAAAGTTTACGGACGGACGACGGACGGACGGACGCCGGACGAAAAGCGATCACAAAAGCTCACCCTGTCACTTTGTGACAGATGAGCTAAAAACCGAAGGCGCATATGTACACAAGCTGACCAACATTCTTATAACTTTTCAGGCCTACAGGTTTTAAACTTTGTGAGTTACATGCAACACAAGTTGAATATTGTAATATTTTACTAAGTCAAGGGCAATTACTCTAAAAATACTAAAAATAACCACATGAAAATACCCAGGTGCACAACTACGCATGCTGAGCAACATTCCTGTAAGGTTTCATGATTCTAGGTCAAATACTTTTTTAGTTACGTGCGACACAAGTTGAAAACTGGAAAATGTTACTTAGTCAAGGGCAATAACTCTAAAAATGGTTCTTAAAAAAGACACACAAAAAAGACACACAAGTAAAAACGGAATGAATAGGATCAAAGAGAATTTACTGTTACCCATTGAGAATGATTGTTCTCCAAGTCACATAATTACCTCTGGGTTTGTACGGACTTACAGATGGACGGATGGACAAGGGTAAATCTAAATGATCCCCGCCCTCTAAAGTGGGGGCACAAAAAGAGGGCTAAGATATGGCCCTGGTTAACTCACCCGAGACCAAAAATCAGTTTCAGTTTGGAGACAAAAGGTCAATGTAACCTTGAACTTTGATCTACAAACCTTGTTGAGGTATGTATGCATACCATTTAGTTTTAAGTCATTCTGACTTCAGGTGACAAAATTATGCCCCATCCAAAAAAAAATGCATCCATAACTAAAAATGGTATTAGCTGAAATAATTATTCTTGGGCTCTGCACTCCCTCTTATTGTGATAAGCATGTATACCAAGTATCAAGTCATTCCCACTTTAGCTGTCAAGTTATGAATCGGACTTACCTACTGGATGCTGATCAGCCCACCAGCCTGCCGTGGGTGATCATATGATACATTCCATTGTGTATAAAAACTCAATGTGAAGGGAATTCAAACAAATCTATTTTTACAATATTATCTATAACTTTAAAGAAAAATTGAAATTGAAATAATAAAATGTCAAACTAAATCAAACAAATCACTCAAATCATTCCCTTACATATGCTTAAAGTTTAATACATACATGAGAAGCTACCGAGGGCTTGTCCGATTTATTTCTTCTTAAGTCTTGAATCAACTTCATAACCCGAGCATCTGAAAGGTTGAATATGAAGCAAATGAACAATTAAGAATCTATAGAAAACTGGGGGTCATAAGGCCTTTCTACTTACATGTAAATAGCTTGTTGCTTTTCCTCAACATTTAACTTGAACCATGTCTCTATCAATGTCATTCATTAATGCTGTTGTTTTGTGCTGATTTATTTTTTGACATAGCCATTTAACTGGTCACAAACAACAGTATTATAGACAGTTGATGCAATTACATTTAAGTACTTGAAACTAAATGATGCACTAATGGCTAGCGTTAATTTTGTAATTTATAATTCTACAATTGTTGAATAAGAGACAGTTAACGTAGTGACAATAAATATTTGAAACAATAAATTTGTATTCATGTGTTTGTTCATGTATAAACAGGACGCCAATGTAAGCTCCCTGAACCGAATGTTTGTGGAAGTGAAGAATGTAATTGTAAAGACGCATGTTTTACTTGGACGAGAATTTTGTTACTGTAATTAACATCATTATAACCAAAAGTAAAATTCAAAGAATAGAAAGAAAAAACAATAAAGCATAACTCCAAAATAATAAAGTGAAGAGTTAATGTTCTTATGCACTGCAGCTCTCTTCCACCAGATCTATCCTCCTATGATGCTTCAAGTCAATATTCCTTGTTGAGTTTATGAGATTTGCCTTGGACAGAAATTGCAATGGACCATCAGACGGACAATGTGGAGATTATTATAGTCTATATATGCTCTCCAATGTTATTTAAAGGGTAGTGTTTGTCCTAAAACTCAATCATGTTTGTGAATTAATGTGATATATTGTTTATGTAAAATAATAAACACACTAATAACAAAATTGGTCCATTATCTAAATGTGCAGAGTCAGGTGAAATCCTGCATTGACGGCATAAAATAAGAATTTTAGATTTTCAATGCATTTTGTTAAGTGAATTTTCCTGAACAAATGCTGAAAATTTCTTAAATATAGCTTTTTAAATTGAACAAGATATGAATGTTTGAACATTAAAGCAAAATTCTTACATGACATTAAAACAACAGGAAAAGAAAATGAAGTCAAAGATATAAGCACTATGTTTAAATGATTTTGTGAACAAAATTACAATCAAACTTTTATTTCATATTTTGAAATATATTTTAAGTATTTCTGAAGGCAAAATTTACAGATTCTTTAATAATTGCAAAATATGAAAATCTTTATAGGTAACAACCTCCTGTTTTCCTTATATGCACCATGGTTCAAACGTCTTGTTACCATAGCAACTAAGGAGAGTATTAAAGCGACATTATGCCCATCCAAGGGTATATAGTTACTGAAGAGGTCAAAGTCAAAATACGTTTAAATTTTCCAGTAATTATTTTCAATTTTATAATTCACTGTGCATGAACTATAGATAACGCACATGACCAAAAAACATTTCCATAAATATCCATCAGAAATTACCTGTAACGTTCAATTTACAAAAAGAGTGGGGCAGTCTTTTCATATTCAGGTCATGTCTAAATTTTATCCTACAGACTTTCAAATATCAACTGTTGGTCAATCACCATTATAACAATCAAACTTTTGAAATATATAGAAAATTCAGCTCAACTTGACAATTAAAAATTGAGCAAAATGTCACTTTAATTGAAGTGTATAACTATAATAATGCGAATTGAAACCCCTATGCTATGAAGGTGTTGCTTGAATAAGATCAAGTGCATAAGAAGACATGGAAAAATTAGTCATTTTTGCCTCAAAACACTTCATCATTACTTACATATAGTAGATGTCATTAATGCAGGTTTTGTCATGATGCGACACAAATGTTTTTTTATAGGAGAATTTTGATTAATTGGATTTACACATTAGCATAGTGATGACTCACTTTTCAAAAATTTTATCTGATGTTTTGTCAAAGCTACAAATAAATGACTTTTTTACCTTCATTGGCGACACCTGTTGACTCTGCTTTCCTTGGGGAAGTATCTTTAGATTTCTCTGAAATAATTCATTGACATAATTTGTCATTATAATAAACAAAAGCTGTCAATAGAAAGTAATGAAAACTAAGGCATTAAAACATCTGAGGTGTGCTGTTGAACTTAAGGGCATACTAACTGTCCTAGAATGGAATAGGACTAAATCACAATAATCTATGCCTTTCGTCACTCAAATTCATAGTCAAACTAAATAATTCTTGCTAGACCCATTGCGGAAATAATGTTACATTTACATTGAAAGAAGTATCATCAAATATGATCCTTCCTGCACTAAAATCAACAAGTGTCAATTTCCATCAAAGAATTAACCATCTGCGGCATGACAATTGAATAACACCTTTTAAAGATCCATAGAATCTCAGTTAATAACCGGCATTTGCTATCAAAATAGCACCTCAATTTAGTACAACAAACATAATTTGAAGCATTCCGTAAATTGACGCCAAATAATGAAGAAATAATGAAGATTCAACTTGATACAAAAGCCACTCTCTAATTTTTTGTGCACCCATAAATCCCATTCCAAAATTGTCGGATGACCTTGTATTTGATCAGGATGTGTCAGTAAAGTCACTCTTTTGTTCTGCCATTGTTAGGACACAAGCATATGCATTACCACATGATTTTACAGACGCATTTGACCATGGTTGTTGACCAAAACCATGAGTTAATAAGTGGCAGCATGGCATTCACACGTCACCTTCATAATTCTTTTTCACCCAACCTAATTAAGTAAAAAGCCAAGTTATTAATTTTGAACTTTGGTAATGACCTTGGCCTTTTACAGAAATGGTTGGTGCTTAGGTTCTGTATTAATAGGATGTAAGCTGGTGACCTTCACCTTGAAAACTTAGGGCAAGGAGGTTATGGTTCTTAAAGGGATTCCAGTAGTTTGATTTTATGCTGAGATATTGGTAATTATAGCAGATTAATTTTTTTGCTAAAACAGATTAAAACTAGAACTGTGTCCAAAGGACACGGATGCCCCCACTGACAGCATATATATATTATATAGTTAAAAAATCAACAAAGGGCCATACTTCTGTTAAATTTGGTAACAGTAAAAAATTCCTTCCTTTACTTCAATCGACATATTAAGGTTGTTTATCCCTTGAAGTTTAAGCAAAATCTGCCATCCGGTTTAAGAGGAGTTGCGTTCACAAAATTTCTATATGGTATATACAACGTAGTGAAAAAATCAACAAAGGGCCATTATTCTGTTACATTTGGTCGCAGCAAAAATTCCTTCCTTTACTACCATCTACACATTAAGGTTGTTCATCCCTGGAAGTTTAAGCAAAATCTGCAATCTGGTTTAAGAGAAGATGCATTCACAAAATTTCTACATAGTATATAGTAAAAAAATCAACAAAGGGCCATAATTCTGTTAAATTTGGTCGCAGCAAAAATTCTTTCCTTTACTACCATCTACTCATTAAGGTTGTTCATCCCTGGAAGTTTAAGCAAAATCTGCCATCCGGTTTAAGAGGAGTTGCGTTCACAAGCTTTCGGGACATACGGACAGACGGAAAGACGGACGAACAAGTGCAAAACAATATGCACCCATTTTGTGGGGGCATGAATACTATGGTACCTTCAAGAGTATCCCCTGGCATTGCACAATATATCAACGTCCCACCTTCCAGTGTGTCTAAGAATTCATTGTCTGCAATCTCTGTGTTGTCCTCCAATAAGAAGCGTATATTGGTATCTAGTTCTTCCAGGTTAAACAGCTTCTTACCTAAAAATCAAAATCACTAAGCACTACTAGTATAATTTTCACTCATATTTACAGCACATACACAGCTTTAAGCCTCACAGGTGACCATTTGTTTTAATTTTGCAATTTACTTTATATATGTTAGTACCAATTGAAGTTAGAAGAATGTAATCAAATGGGATCAAATTTTACCTTATGTTTGATATTTTACAATGACATACCAAATATGATCTCAGGTCAGTTATATTTGAGAGGATACTGCAACTTTAATGTATAATTGTCAGAATCCATCCACATTTCTTTAGATGGGAGAGTAAAATTAGTTTAAAGTAATAATAAACTGGCCTTCTAAATTGTGCTGAAAATTGTACAAAATATTATTTCATTCTCAAATCAAGCCAGAGGAACAATTTAATTACTTACATTTTGATGACAATTCCTGTAAGTTATAAACCATCACGGCAAACTTTCTCGTTTTCCCCATGTCACTGACTTTCAAAGCAAACTTCTGAAGTAAAAACATCTTGTAAAGCAGGGCAAAATCAGAGCAACTCTGGAGTCTCCCGTTATTATGGATTACACAGCTTTATTTACTGATTTTTTTTTCGTTTTAACAAATTATAAACATTTCTGTTTGTATCAGAAAGTACTATATTCTGCAATTTCTAACTTTTCAGTTATCTTGTCATTCTGTTTTGATTAATAATTAATTAAAAAGAACAGCTAGTATAAAAGTAATATTCAAATTGTTATTACTTTTTAAGTTTTTACTTCTACGCAGCTATGCCTTGTTGTTTTTTGTACAATGCTTAACTAACCCTAACAGCGTTAAAATCTTGGTCCATGCTTCCAGACATAATTTTTTCTTTTACTGCCAGACTGTTGTGATTTAAGTGGAATATTGTATTGTACTGTAATTTGCTTCTTTGTTTTACCTTCTCTTTTAAATGTACCTTGTTACATAATTTAAATGCTCGACAGAGCTTGTGGTTGATCATTTTCAATGAATGTCAATCACTATGATCCTAATCTTAAATACAATGCCTGCTTAATTTGTTTCAAATGCGCTTGAATTGTTTGGATTAAGGAACGGGTGTTGAGTTAATTAGTGAAAATACTTTTGAAAATCTTCCAAGCAACTGATGTCCAAAAACGTGTAGTTAGATACAAATACACTTGCCAAGTGATTTGGAAATTTTCCACACAGCAGTTACTTCCCCTCAAGGCTCAATATACTTTTTATATAGTAATCACTGCCACAGTGTAGAAAACTCAGTGATATTTGGCCGGATTTTTTTTTTACTTTTTTCCGTATTTGTCTGGCCATTTATTACTCAAAACCCAATCAGTGATTCTTGATAATATTTGGTATGTGGCTTGCATTAACGTACGAGCAACAATAGGTACGAAAACGAATCCGGGTCAGCTTGGCCCTGTTCTAACTCGGCACGGGTCAACTCTGCCCACTTTTCAATTATCAATATTTAGGTTTGTGTTATCACTATTTATTTTAATTATTGTAATTATTTATAATACACTGATTGACAGTTTCCAAACTAGCAGCAGACAGGCTTTTCTTATCAGTAGAATTCCAAGTAAAGATAACCGATTGCATATCTCACTGTATTTCTGACTCGCGGTAGGTTTAACCGTAAATTTAAATACTTTGAGTGTCAAACAATGTGTTGAAATATATACTGAGAGGAAACTAAGATCACCAGCTTTTAACTGATGTAATAAATTTTAAAATCGGGCATTTAATTGCCCCAAACTAGAGATTTAAACAAGGCTAAATTTGCATTCTTTTGCAAATAAAGGGAAACTAAGGGAAACTACTCTTATTCCAGAAACAAGCCATATACAATAAAGGGACTCCTATTGTCACAGGCTATTATTATCAATCAGTGTGTATGTTAAGGATACCGATTAATTAGGTGATAATTATGATTGATGCATTTATTCAAAATTGATTAGTGACCACCTGCAATTAACAAGTCTAGGATTTCATGAACTGTCCGTAAATTTATAGACAGTCTAGAAATTTAAAGATTTTTCAATCCATAAATTTACAGATATTCAATGTGAAATTTGCTGTTTTTAGTTTTACAATAAAATGTGCAGCTTAAAACAAGTTGTTTTATTGATTGTTTATATTTACAAAGGTAATGGGGTGAGTTTCATCTTTGTATGATGATTTTGAAATTTTTGCTAAAAGTGAAAATTGAAAGTCATCAAACTGTTCTGAATCTTAGCATACTGTTACATTTAATCATATAATACCTAACCTTATTCATTTTAACCTGCAGTTTTTAAATTTCAATGCAACTTCTACTACTGTATTTTCTTACTTAATGTCTGTAAATTTACAGATAAGAAAATCTGTAAAATTATGGATCGTCCAAAAATTTACAGACTGTCCGTAAATATCATGAAATCCTCGACCTGATTAATTAGAAGCTTATGTTATTAAGTAGGGACGTTTTTGTTTCATATTTTTTTAATAATACTTTACAAACAAAATGCATCTAATGCATCTATTGAAACACATTTTTATTAGATCTATATTAATTTTATCGAATCTTCAAGACAAATAAATAACATTTTTTTTTTCTAAATATACTTTATTTCTGCAGACAATGTATGATTATATAACAATAAGATATTTCTTATTATTCATTTACCTTAACAACATGCAAAGCAAAGTTAATACGTTATATATATTTTTGTAAAGTGGGCCGAGTTGACCCGTGCCGAGTTGGTATAGGGCCGAGTTGACTCTTTTCCTACGAAAACATCACAAGCCCTGCTGTGTGGAGTTTGGCAGGAAACAGCGGGTGAATGCATATTTTCAGAAAGACCTACCATAGAGCATGATCACTTTGCGGTTTTCAAAAGAAACATTAAATGCATATAATTCTACCTTTTTCTTTTCTTTCATAGGAGTCTCCATTGCGTCTGTTCTACACTCTGAAATAAAATGGCGGTGATAAATAAGGGAGGTAACTTTATGATGATACAGTCTGTAGTTTATACTGCGGACCTATGCGGGTCTTTACGGAGCCGGGGGCCTGTGTGTACCAACACGAACATTACACCTTTATAATGAAACAAATTAGGATATGTAACTGATCAGTTAGTATTTCATTTTATTTAGTTATTTTCAATGCAGATTTAAAAGACGGTAGATTGTTCCAGGGCCCACATGTACATCAAATATGATAAAGGCCCTGTACACAGTGCGCTTAAAAAAGTCACAGTCTCAATTTTATGCAATAAATCTACATATAACACTTATTACAAGTATAAATGATCACATTTGTTTATATTATTGCGGAAAAAAACTTGAAACCCGGTATATATGGCACAGACTCTGGTTTCCGTTTACAAGGCGTATTGTAAGGGATTATCAACTGGTATAGATACTCGATAACACAAAACTGTAATTAGTTGAAACGTATCTTATTGCCAAATATAAAAAGAAAATACATAATACTATACATGTTCCTGCAACTTAGTTACGGCTCTGTCCAAGAGCCCATTAAGCAGGGAACTCACATAAGCTTATAGTTGTCCCTGACAAAAGGCAAAACAGTACTTGAATACATATACTGCAGTACAACTGGTCTGCCGACTTGAATAAAATCAAATAATGTACAATAAAAAAAGTATTAGTGTATAGATCTTCTACTAAAAAGAATTAATATCTATTTAAAATGAATGCTTATTATCCTTACCTATTTGGAATTCATCCATCATGGCGGCTTTTTTTCCAGGTCTAAACTTAATACATATTGCGTAAACATTTATATCAACATCCCGCGATTTTTACGTTTTTCGTAAAATGTCGAAAAGATGCATGTTAACATATCGACAAAATAACACAACTTGCCGATATCTTTATTACGATATTTTGACATTCTCAAGCGTTGTAAACAATTTTTATTGCGACTAAACGTGGATTAAGTCGGTTTGTCGAAATAATTTTTCTCGTGATATACGACATAATCACAACAATTCGAGTTAACACAACTCGTCATAACTACATTAACACCACATCAGGGGGGGTACATATACGCTTCCATAATTGTAGAGACTTTAAAAAAAGTCACCTACTTCACTTTTATGTATACGGTTATACTGTTTGATTTGGAAAATATATTGCACGTTTACATAACCTCTTACGAACCGACCTAGTCAAGCCAAGTCTGAATTATTTTTATGTTTTAATCATATCATGCAACGCGTATGCAGAAATTGTGGCTACACGGTATGGAAACGTTAATTGGGCACCTGAAAGTTGATACTTACCTATGTTATTGTATGTATTTTGTCCACTTTATCACCATATCTCGTGAAAATATAACACTACTTGATGCATTGATGTTTCAGTTTTATACCAGAAGTTTTTTCTCTTCAATACTATTTTTAAAACATGTCGATATATCGGAACTGGTTTTGACGAGAAAAATGTAATTGGGTACCTGAAAGTTGACATATATCTGTGTTATTGTATGTAGTTTTGTCCACTTTATCACGGCATCTCGTGAAAATATAAGACTACTTGATGCATTTATACCAGTTACTTTTCCTGTTATATCGATATTTCATAAAGAATATTATTGTTACTTACATTATAACGGCATTCCTCAAAAACATATGTTGCCAAAGCCTAAACATGTCGCGAGGAGGCGATTCTTTTTCTACTCTTGACCGGTTCCGTTATATCGACAAACCATAAAGAATAATATTGCGGGAGAAAAAAACTTCTAGTATAAAACTGAAACACTAATGCATCAAGTAGTCATATATTTTTACGAGATACCGTGATAAAACGGACAATACCACATACAATAACACAGGTAGGCATCAACTTTCAGGTGCCCAATTAACGTTTCCATAACACGGTCTTAAATGAAGTAATACCACCGATGATGATTCACATTCAAATGAACAGTTACTAAAACTCTTTTTTTTGAGATTTGGCTCTACATCTGGGTTCATTATGTGCTGAAGAGATCCATATATTCAAGACATAAATTTAAAATATTATGTTGATAATTGGTATATGATAAACGTATCGTGACCACCACAGTAAGAGCTATGTTTTACATATTTTAAGCCCTCTTTGGTAATTTACGTGGTGCTGTTTTCAAGGAATTACTTATCGAATCAAGAGTAATATGCGACTATGTAAATAAATGAAACAAGTTAACACATTGTTTACAATTTAACATAAATAACCGGCAATACATTTCTTCTTGCATCAAGTTTATTATTCTTATTCCTGTTAAGTTCACAAATTATCCATTATCTACTTAAGTTTAAAGATAAACACTTTTATTCATTTATGATTTTCAGTTAGAAAGACATGTATTAAATTTTGTCTAAATGTAAAAAGGTTATACTTTATTTCCACATGAAATCATTATAAAAACAATGGTGCATGCTTATTATATCAACTTTACAAGAAATGAACTCAAATAAGACGAAGTCAATTTGATTCTGTAAAAAAAATACTATTGT